CCCGAATGACAACCAAACCTCTTTTCTCAAAGCACTTCTGTCCAAACTAGATACATATAAACAAGGAGGGCTCATCCTGGGAGGAGACTTTAACTTCATTCAGTCCCCGACCTTAGATACTACTGCTTCGCCACAGGGAAAGCGCAAAAAGGGGACCCAAGCCCTCTGCAAGAATCTCACCAACACCTTGACACTGTACAACTTATATGATAGCTGGCGAACACTACATCCTACAGACCGGGACTATACTTTCTACTCAAGGGTCCACAACACGTACACGCGTATAGACACCTTCTTTATAGATAACAAGACCATGCCGCAATTGACAGACTGCAGGATAGGGGAGATAACGTGGTCAGATCACAGCCCAATCTATCTGGACGTGGAAGATACCTATCAGACCAGAGGCAGGAACACATGGAAGCTAAACGAGTCCCTCCTATTAGATAAATCGTTTGTAGAACGTATGAAGATAGAACTTAGGGAATACTTCCTTGTGAATGCAACAGGCGAGGTCACGGACTACACAGTGTGGTCCGCACACAAAGCGGTGATGAGGGGCCAGTTCATCAGACAATCAGCGTACATAAAGAGACATCATCAGACCACCCTACTAGAATGCCACAAACAGATAGCGATACACACAGCCCAAAACAAGAAAACACCCACGGCAGCCCTAGCAGACAAATTAAGAGGTCTGTATCAAGACCTAAATGAGCTTAATGCCCACAAGACCCAATATTTCATACATAGACTAAGAGCCACCACGTACCACCACAGCGGCAAGGCAACCAAATACTTGGCCAACAGACTGAGAACTAGGCAGGCCGCCAATAGAATCCCACATCTTATAGGACATGCAGGAGACAAACTTATGAATCCCATGGACATAGTGCAGGAATTTGCACACTTTTACAAACAGCTATATAACCTAAACACAAGTGGGGGCGTATCAGCACCAGACACACAATCTATTCGCAGTTACCTACAGGGTGTGGAACTCCCCAAAATAGACCAAGAATCAGTGAGCGCCCTACTCGAACCGATCTCCATACAGGAGATCCGGACAGTAATTAAGAGTCTGCCCTCGGGCAAATCCCCGGGCGCAGATGGTTTCTCAAACAGTTATTACAAGACATTCATAGATATACTAACCCCACACTTGCTCAAGGTATACCATACAGCGACGGAAATAGGATCCCTTCCCCCTGAAATGCTAGTGGCCACGATAGTGACACTCCCGAAACCAGACAAGCCTACGGATTGCTGCAAAAATTTTAGACCTATATCCCTCCTTAATACAGACGCGAAGATATATGCTAAGATTTTGGCCAACAGACTGGCACCCATCCTCCCAACTATCATAGGAGACGACCAAACAGGATTCATTAAGAGTAGGCAGGGTAGGGACAACACCAGAAAACTCTCCTTGGTGCTGGAAAAACTGAGAGGATCGGGACAGGGTGGGCTTTTATTAGCCCTCGACGCCGAGAAGGCGTTTGACAGATTGAATTGGTCATTTCTTGAACACACACTTCAAAAATACGGCATCCCCTCCGAATTTGTCAAACAAATATTTGCTCTGTATGCAAGCCCCACAGCCCGAGTGCTACAAGCAGGCTTCCTCTCAGACCCGTTCCCCCTGACAAACGGCACGAGGCAGGGATGCCCTCTATCACCGCTGTTGTACGTCCTGGCCCTAGAACCACTACTAGTCCAAATTAGAAATCATGAGGGCATCAAAAGAATAGAGCTTCACAGCAGGGAAATTAAAATTAGCGCATTTGCAGATGACATACTCCTTTGTGTCACTGAGCCCGAACAGTCGACCGCACTCATCTTAGATCTCATCAGGGAATATGGCAAGAGGTCTTACTACTCTCTCAATGCCAGTAAGACGCAAGCGTTGGGGGTTCGGCTCAATCACCGAACCCTGACTGCCCTCAAAGAGAAACATACTTTTGAGTGGAGGATGGATACAATAAAGTATCTAGGACTGACCTTTACGAAAAACCCTACAGAGACCTTCTCGGCCAACTACGTTAGGGTGGGGGGCGAATGCCGTCAATTGATGAAAAAATGGGGCACACTGTTTCTAACCTGGACGGAGAGAGTAGCAACCATCAAAATGTCCATACTTCCTAGGCTTCAATACCTGTTTCGCAACCTACCGATTCAGGTACCCATATCCTATCTCCGAGAAACACAAAGAGATATAAATAGATTTGTGTGGGGGGGTCAAAAAGCCCGAGTAAAAGGAACACTACTACGAGCACCAGCGAGACAAGGTGGCCTAGCCTTACCGGACATTAAGTCATATTACCAAGCAGCAATGCTAGCAACACTTCTTCCCCATTTCATGACCACAACCACACCGCAGTGGGTGCACTTAGAACAACTAGCGGTCAGGCCCTTTGATATACCCACCCTATTGTGGCTTCCAAACCGGTTTAGACCAGCAGTGGCACAGATGCCAGCACAGATAAAAATAGCACTGAACACCTGGGACAAAATCCGACACAAACTAACATCTCACACCCTATCACCGGCCACCCCACTCCACACTATAACATATTGAATCCCAACCTTCAACGCAAAGCCCTGGATATCAAACGGGGTCACCCACTTGTACCAAATGCTCTCACAGAACACACTAAAAACCTTCCCAGACTTACAGAAAGAGTATCATGTGCCGGCGGCCTCTCAATTTTCCCATATGCAACTAAGCTCGTTTTTGCGTAAATACACAGATAAACCCCCACCTTCAGAAGGCAGTCTACCTGTTATGACAAAATGGGAACAGATGACCACCACTGGCTCACAGACACCAACGTTTAAACCACTGTCCTGGTGCTATCAGATTCTCAGACCCACACAACACTTTGCTGACTCCAACCCAGCCAAACATCGGATACGAGACTTACAATGCCACATAAGTAAAGACCAATGGGAACGCACCATAGTAGCAACTAAGAAACTAATCAAATCAGAAACCCTCCTGGAACAATATAGGAAAACTCTATACAGGTGGTACATGGTACCAACTCGCTTACAGAAGCTATACCCAAGCTCATCTCCGACGTGCTGGAGATGTGGCAAGAGTGAGGGAACAGTGCTCCATATCTGGTGGCAATGCGGTCGGGTGACCGGCTTCTGGCAAGACGTTAGCCGCCTGATCCGAAACACCACAAAAGTCGAGCTCCCCTGCACACCCCTAGCGTACCTATTACTGCACATGCCAGACAACACACCCAAAGAGGTACAAAAGCTAACATTCCACATACTCTTGACAGCTCAGAGGGCGATAGCTAGACGGTGGAAAAAATGTAGTCCCCCACAAGTGACAGAGGTTTGTAGGGACGTAGACAAACAGCAACTATACGAATCCCGATATAGAGGGGTTCTCCCCCTGACAGTAACGGCCATGAAAGCGTGGAAACTGTGGGACGAAGGAAATACGGGAGAGCCCGACAACCAAGCTAATAGGCCCAACACTAGTGGGTAAGGAAACATATATGGGACAGAAACAGCAGAACAGACAAATAGAGAGCTGTAGCGAGATAATAACTGAGTGCTGTTATAGGATACGATGTAACCAATGTTTACTCGCTTCTATTCTGTATCCCCCCCCCCCCCTACACCAGTTTCATGTGATATTTATGTTTATGACATTGAATGACAAAATCAATAAAAGACTTCAAATGGAAAAGAAAAGAAAAATAAAAAAAGAAGAGAGGAAGTAAGGTAGCCAGGCAGCAAAGTGGTCAAGGAAGAGGAGAGGGGAACCAGGGGGACGATGCCTTGTTAACTTTGTGGAAAATACAGTGCTGCTCATACAGTCACCCAACACAATCAATACTTACAAAGATTGGGCAGGAAAACTGACCCTAAAACGTGGAGACAGAGGAACAGAGAGAAAGATAAATAGAAAGATATGCTGCACTAGCAGGAGATGATCTACTGGTAAAGAAAAGCCCCCATAAAAGCTAAAAAGAAGAAAAATGAATAATAATAGAAATAAAATCTACACCTACCAGGAGATCTCTTACTAATGAGTGCAAATGGAAGAACTGGAGAGATATAAATTGTCTCAAGTGGGTGCTATAAAAGCTACAAAATAGTGGACCTAGAATAATATAGAATAAATTGTACTATGTACACATACACTAGATGGCAGCCTAATACAGAAGGATGACAATACTAGGGGTTCACAATTATTCACAATCAATACTTAGCCACACTGAGAGGAGTTATGTGACACATGAATTCACTCTGCCCATAACTGGATTTTATTGCAATTACTGTGAGTTGTATTTAGAGCAGGATTAACCACAAGGTGACTCTTTGCAGCTGCTTAGATCCCAGAGGTTAGACAGGGGCCCTAGAAACCACGAATTTGCTTGGCAACATCCCTACGTAAAGAATGAATGGGGAAAGGGGGCAAGATGGAAACCAGCCAGGAACCTATGTGATCCTAATCCTTCTCTTGTTGTATTGCTGTGGAGTTCAGTGATGCGCGCACGCACACACTTTACACTTAACAGAGCTTTTACATAAATCAAAGGGCTGGGGGAACATTAAATGGTTACTCCAACCCAAAAAACAGTGTTTTAATAGAAAGGGCAATGGAGGTCAGGGAAGGTGGACTGAGGAGAGGACAGGAGTGGCATGGGTGTGGAGCAGGGCCATGCCACCATTAGCTATCTTGCGCCAGCATGCGGTTTCATCTCCGATTTCAACAGAGAGATTCCCTTGCTGGTCCTAATCCTATCCCTACTACAGACATTCCCTTGCTTCAATATGCCACGTTTTGAAAAACTGTATTTGGGAAAGTTATAAATTCAGCCCTGCATTTTCACACACACTTGACAAGGGTAAGCGAAGGCGGTTATTCTGTACTAAGGAGATATAACGGAGCACAATTTAGTTTTTTTTTCCATGAGGTTTTTTTTTTAGTTTTTTTTTTTTTACAGTAGCACATATCAAGTTTACAAAATAAGCCGCTAACTTGCGATGTGCAAAGAAATTAATGCAAAAATGGCTAAATAATAAGACTCAAAACAGAACACATGACATACCCCATGGTATCTACTTTCACAAATGGTATGCATTTAGGTGGTAACTTTAACTGTCAAATTACTACACTGCTCCAGAATGCAGAACATGCCAGCTATCAAAATTCTAACTGTAAAACCTGAAATAGGATCTCCTATATGGCATTGTAACTTTACAAAAAATAATACATTTGAGGTATTGTTCAGAAGAGTTTGCTGAACATAATTTGGTGGTATTGATAACAGTGGCACATAACAAATTTGAAAAATGACCAGTTAAAATGTAATGTGTATATAAAAAAACCCCACAAGGTTTCAAATAAAACGGTGAAAAAAATGGCAGTACATTAAGGCACAAAATATATTATATGAGATTTCCTGGAGTGTCTACTTTCACAAATGGTAAGCCTTTGTGGGGTAATTTTAATAGTTAAACTGCTATAATGCTCCAAAACACAATGTCACCAATTTAGACTGGAGGAAAGAGGATTTAGTCTAAGGCAAAGGAAATGGTTCTTTACCATAAGAACAATAAGAATATGGAATTCTCTGCCTGAAGGGGTGGTTTTATCAGAGTCTGTACAGAGGGTTAAACAGCAACTGGATAAACACTTGTAAAAATATAATATTCTGGGATATATAACAGCTTCCTGATCCAAGGAGAGATCTGACTGCCATACTGGGGTTGAGAAGGAACTATTTTCCAAATTGGAAATCGCTTCAAAGTGTGGGTTTTTTGCATTCTTTTGAATTTACAGCATAAGCATAAACAGACGTGATAAAGGCTAAACCTGATGGACGCAAGTCTTTACATTAGCAGCATGAGAGGTGTTATTTCCTCTCTGCTGCTAAAGCAGGTCTACCACTATCAGAGAGAATCCCTGGTGACATCAGAAATTACATCACCAGCATTTGTGATACAAAACCTCCTTTTGGGCCACTTTCATAAATACTCCCTGTACGATTGCGGGCATTTCCTTTTTTTTAATTCATTATTTTTGGCATGACATTGCAATACAGTGGTGTGGTAGAGCGTACATTACATGGTATAGGCGTTAATCAACATAGGTTTGTGGACAGGTTATACTCCATTTTACATCTGTTAGTACCACATATCCAATTTGAATGTACTTGCTATTTAGTGTCATTTTTCTTCACTTATATTTTGTAGAAAACAAAAACAAAATAACTAAAACCAAAATCAAAATTATGGAACCTTGGTCGTTGCGGAGTGAACCATTTGTTATGGACTTTGACCCCTTATGTTTAGAAATGGATAGTCATGGTCCCTTCTCCGGTAACGGTGATAGAATATTTAAGGGGGAAATGGAGAAAAGAGGAGGGGGGGGGGGAGACCCCCTCATGGTGGAGTTCGGAGCACCGTGGGAGGCTCCTTCGGGATCGATGTGAGTGTTAGACCTGTGGGGTATCCCTATTGTGTTCCCCTCTCAGCTCTCCCAATCCCCTGCTATCCACAGGTCCCACACTTTTTCGTAAGATTTCATGGTGCCTCTCACCAGTGCCGTAAGGTGGTCCATTACTTTTTTTTTGTAAATCTCTTTTCATTAAGGTTTTCGTAAACAGAAATACTAAGTAACAGGACAGTTATACACATGGAACTCGCAGGTCCTCAGCAGTAAGTAGAGCAAAAAAGGAAGAAAAGAAAACCACGAATGTAAAATTCATGCAGTAGGTGTGAACGTGATGTGTTTAAGTGCCTTTATGTTCCTAGGCTGGTCGTAGAGGTTTTCCAACAGTTAATAAGTCAGCTACCGTCCTGTAGCCCACGGTCTCTTCTGTGATCTGTCAGGGGATGTGCGTTCTGCCTCCTGACCAACCGTGATTGTACAGCTATGACTTGTAGCACGGTTTTTCCCGTACCTGGGCAGATGAGCTGTACCACGTTCTATAGCATACGACTTTTGTCCCTGTGGTGGTCCATGACTTGTGTGTCTTTTATTTTGTGTATTACTATGTTTACCTGGGGGATTGCTGGTTTAAGCCATGCCTGTGCCATGGTGAGTCTGGCAGCAAGCGTGATTTTGTGCAGGAGTTTCTGTTCCCCCCTTGGTCAATCTTCTAATGTTCAAGAGAGCAGAAAAACCCATGGGTCTAGTGTTACCTTTCTGTGGAATACCCTATCAAGAAGGTTCCCAACTCCCCTCCAGAAAGTCTGCGCTTACCACATATGTATGTACGTCCCTTTGTTTCCGCAGACCCTCCAGCACAAGTCGTCTGGAGTTTCTCATATGGTACAATTTTTCTGGGGTGGTATACCATCTCAGCATGGTCTTATAGGCCTGCTCTTGTTGTGTGACACACAATGAGATAGCTTTGTTTGCATCCCAGATTTCTCTCCATTCTGTGCCCTCTAGGGTCTCTCCAAGGTCTGTTTCCCACTGTGTAGTGTAGGTCGCCCCAGTCAGTGCTGTTTGTGCATAGGTGTGCGTATAAGTGTGTGATGAGTCCCTTTGGGGGTTTTTCCTTGAGGCACATTCGTTCAAAACCCGTTGGTGTAGTTTGTGCCGCAGTTTTTGCTAGGTTATGTTGTGCGAAGTCTCTAATTTGGATGTATCTAAAGAAGTCTGGGCGTCGTAACCTTGTACTTTCCGTCAACTTCTCAAATGGCACTATTTGGTTTCCTTCATATAGGTGTATCACTCTCTGTAGACCCGCCTCCTCGATGTTTTTGAAATCTTGGTCCCTCATTCCCGGTGAAAACGCTCTGTTCCTCAACAGTGGCATCAGTGGAAAGGTGAGAGGGTTAATTTGTGTTTAAGGGCCTCTGCGTCCCAAACCTGAAGGGAGTTTAGGATAGCTGGGCAATTAGTGCGTAGGATGGCCCTATGTTCCCTTGGTAGCCAAATGTAGAATTGGGGCAGGTCAGCTCCTGTTATGCCGGATTCTAGGTCCGCCCATCTGCGGTCGCCTGGTGTAGAGTGCCACATGGCGATTTGGGCAAATTGGGCCACTAGATAGTAGTTGCAGAGGTGGGGCAGGCCTAGCCCTCCTCTGTCTTTGGGCCTATACAATACGTTGCGTGAAACTCTGTGTCGTTTGTGTTGCCATATAAAATCCCCTATTGTCCTCTGCAGGGGCCAGATCTGTTTTAGTGATAGGTATGGGCATTGCTTGGAAGAGGAGTCTGGCGAGAACATTCATTTTTATTGTGTGGACCCTTCCTATCCAAGATATAGGTTTGTCTACCCATCTGTCAAGGTCGGCACTGACGGTCCTGAGAAGGGGGTGTAGTTAGCCCCGTAAAGCTGTTTGGGGTCTGCGGTCAGTTGTATCCCTAGGTTTTTTTTATGGTGTTTTGTGCTATGGGTATGTGGTGCTGGTTCCTTATGTGTGTCGTGTCGTTTGTTGTCATGGCTATTGGGAGTGCAGTGGATTTGGACAGGTTGACCTTATAGCCCGATAGGTCTCCATATGCTGTTAATTCTCGATCTAAGGCCTTCATTGAGTTCCCTGGGTTTGTGAGAGTGAGAAGGACATCGTCCGCATATCCTGATACTTTATATGTCTGGTCACCCACCAAGATTCCCTGTATAGATTGGTTCAACCCGATTGCTTGCATTAGGGGTTCTAGTGTGAGTACGAACAGGAGGGGTGACAGTGGGCAGCCCTGTCGTGTGCCACTGTGTAGGGCGATAAGGGCTGTCGTGGCGCCCGGGATCCGGATGTGTGCCTTGACATCTGTGTACGTGGCTTGGATCGTTTTAATGTACGTCTCGGGGAACCGGAGATGTCGTAAGAGTTCGAACAGGTATGTCCACTTTACCCTGTCAAACGCCTTTTCGGCGTCGAGAGAGAGTATGAGCGTTGGGGTGCGTGAGGTCGTCTGTGTCCATATTAAGTCGATGTTGCATCTAGTGTTTTTAAATAGATGTCGTCCGGGAATGAAGCCCACCTGGTCTGCGTGGATTAGGTTCGTTAAGTGTGGCGATAGTCTTTCCGCTAATATCTTGGCCAGTAGTTTAACGTCATGGTTGATCAACGATATGGGTCTGGTTTTGGTATTAGTACGATGAGGGCCGTAGACATTTCTGGATCGGGATGGATTGCTGACATTTCCTATAACCAACAGGGACAAAGTATGTTTTCTTATCCCCAGTAAACCAGATGTTTTTGTGGCTGGATTTGTGCAGGATAGATGTGATCATGATGCAGAGGACTGAAGGTTTGCAGATTAAATGAAGTTTTGCTGGATCACTTGAAATTTTCTAGGGCAATCTCACAGGTTCTAAAAAACTATTTTCTTTGAAGTGAATCCTCCAGATTCCTCATCAACACTTCTAGACCAACAATGCCTTGCAAAACATCTACAGAAACTCGAATCGGTGAACAAATGTTATCCCTCCCGAACCAATGTGTCCAATTTTAACAAGATCAGATAGAAACTTAATGCTCTACAGTTGCAAACTGTGGAAAGGAGATTGTGGCGACTGGTTCATCATGAATATGCTCCAGGGAACACGGCAGGTAAATTACTGGTGTAGACTATGATCCCATACCTAATTGATGCACCTGGAACTAAACTCACCAACCCCATCAATATGGTCAATGAACTGGCCAATTACTACATTACTGTCTATAACCTGAAGTACAGTCTGACCCAAAATCATACTATGCAAGCAGAGGTCCTTAATAAATGATCCAATCCCTGCCTCGACATCACTGCCCTATATTATTTCCCCAGAACAAGCAAGGTTTGTTATACGCCAAGCTAGCGACAATACCCGTAGGCTTTTGGACCTGATTGACTTGGCAAACCCCAAGAGCACCCCTAGACTGCTGCTGGCTCTATATGCTGAGAAGGCATCTGATTGCCTTCATTCGTGATAAATTAAATCAGCATTAATAAATATGGCCATCTTGCAACATTTATTCAGGCAATCATGTTGCTCTATTTTGCTCCTGTGGCCAGAGTCTTGCTTCCTCTCACTCAAGTTGTGGATAACGAATGGCACTAAGCAGGGGTGCCCACTATCACCCTCATTTTTAAACTAGCAATGGAGCCCTTGGTCCAATACATAAAAAATTAGGTTGCAATAACATGGATATTCACCCCGACTACAGAACACATGCTCACCTTTTTGCAGGTTTTATACTGTCATTATTCCCCCATGTTGTTTCGGAATTCCTCCATATTGTTTTTAGACCAATCAGCATTACCTGTATGACTTCTAGGTTTTACCGATCCGTCTCTGTCCATGCATCTGACGTCATGCGCTTCCCTTTAAAAGGAAGCCGCGACCGCATCCAAATTGTTCAATCGATATTTGTTCATCGTTGATGTCCTCTCACTACTTGTTACATTGTTGTCGCTTCCCGACAGAGCTTTGCTAACTGATTTCCTGTGTACAAAAGCTCTCTGGCTTTGATCCTGGCTATGCTCTACTCTCAACTTCCTGACAAGGAACAGACTTCAATTTGGATTTCTGCCTCTCTCCACTTACTTTAGGGAACCATATTCCACTCTACTCTGGAAAGGACTACAGTGCTCATCATCCGAGAAAGGCAAGATAAGTTCTCCAGTTATTGGGATTACTAATTGGCTCTTTCCTAAAGTTATCTTGGAAGGAAAAGGAATACTAAAGTCTCCCCTCCACTGATTCCACTTGCTATCTCTATTGAAAATCTCATTTGATAAATTGCTCATTTATGTCAATTATTATTATTGGAGTCTAAAAGACTATAACCACTTCTCAGACCAGGATATATATCATTGCCAACATTTACTGGTTCAAGTTAAAAGATTGTTACTTTCCTACAACAGGGTCACCTGATCTGGCAACTCTATATTTAAGTCTAAAGGACTATACTGCATATTGCTAATTAAGCATTTCTTTTTTTCATTAATTACTAAATGTTCTTGTGAAGTAATACTAAAACAAGATTCTCATTATTTATGTATTATTATTTAAAAAAATCCTTATTGCGGCAGAAGTCTGCCAAAGTTACATTAGTTTATTTTAATAAATTATATTTACTTAAAGTGACAGTATCAAATCTCTTCATTCACCTGCGGTTGAGTTCCAAATAATTTTCCCCCTAAAACTATTACAAATACTGCTTTCTTTATCAAACCCAGACTTCAACAATACAGGGGTTTCAATCCCAGGATCCTCTGTGCCAGAGAGATAACAGCGCGATAAAAAACATTTAATTTAATTATCTCTCAGGTACAGAAAACCAAGAAAATATATTGTACCCCAAAAGTACCCCCACCATACATAGGAACCCACAAAAAGTACATTCCTCGATAGCCCCGATCTGAGTGTAGAACATATCCAAGAAACACTCAGATCGGTTCGGTGAAAACGGAAATGCCATCGAGGTAGAGTTTTGACCAGCCAGGCACAAGGTGCGAGCGCAAAACAGTACCAGGAAAATAGGTGCCTTGGCTGGTCTCTGTTCGTGAAGTTTCCGTGTGAACACCAGGCAAGGGAAGTTCTTCATTTCAGGATACTATTGCTCCCCCTCTTCAGTAGTTCATATCTCCCAAATGTCGTTCGTCTAGGTGGTCGGGAAATAGAAAGGGCAGCGGTGTTCGCGCTAGTGCCTAGCCGAAAAAAGTTATAGGCACTTTATGACCAAATACCGCTGCCCACGTTCGGTAGACAAGATGGCCGCCACGTGTTTGGTTATATGAAATGGGGGCCACCCAGGGGACGCATTCATTACTTCCTTCCCTTGCGGTTTCGCACTTAATTGGTCGGTGTCAACGTTCTAATAGGGGTGGTCTTTGTTCGGGAGATGAAGGGATTCTGCTCACTCGTATGATGTCTCCCGAACAGAGTAGGAGTAGGATGCAGCAGTTCGACATGTCTTTGGCCAGGCTGCGGATGGCGAAGGATCCTGCGATCAATTCTAGACAGTTGATGTGTAGATTGGTCTCCTTGCCTTGCGAAGGACCCCCTGTAGAGTAGACCGTGCAGTTTGCGCCCCAGCCCCAGGGGCTGGCGTCCAACGCCACGATGAAATCCGGGGAAGAGCCAAAGATAACTTTGCCATTCCAAGCTTGTATGTGAAGTAGCCACCATCGGAGTTCCGTCCTTACATCTGTTGAAAGTGGGATCCAGTGGTCGTACGAGTGACTGGTGCGTAAGTATCTCGCTGCATGGCCCTGTAGTATAGCGGTCCTGGGAATATCGCTTGTATGGAGGAGGAAAGGAGTCCCACAATCCAAGTGAGCATCCTGAGAGGAATCGTATCCATCCGTAGGGCACGTCTGATTTCTTTCCAGATAGAAGCTATCTTTGCTGTAGGAAGATGCGAGGTACACAAGACATCGCATGCCCAAAGTGCGGATGTGAGCCATCACTGGCTTCAGCAACTTCGTGAAGCACCACGGAGCCGAACTGGGGACAAATGGCAGCCATGTAAACTGGCATGTTCGTCCTCCCCACTGGAATCGGAGGAAGCGACAACAGTCTAGGGCAACCGGTACCGACAGGTATGCGACCTTGAGGTCCAGACGTGTAAACCAGTCGTTCTCGATGAGGAGGTCTTATAGAAGATGAATTCCTTCCATTTTGAAGTGTCTGTACATCATGTAGGAGTTCAGCTGATGTAGGTTGATGGCCGGTCTGTAATCTCCTGTCTTCTTCTTGACCAGGAAGATATTGATGAGGAAGTCTTCCCCTCTGGGAGTGTATTGCACTGCATCCTTCTTGAAGAGGGTGTGGATTTCTTTGTCTACGATGTGGTTCTGTTCCGCCAACATGCGTATTGGAGGTGAAGGGGTGACCTGAACGGGTTGTGAGTGAAACCTATGATGTAGCCTTGTACCGTCTGAAGAATCCAGGCGTCTTTGGTAATCGTCTCCCAATTTTGCAAGAAAAGAGACAGGCTGCCAGCTATAAAGTTGGAAATAGGCAGGTAGGTGGACTCGCCAGTAGAGAAGTGACCGCGTCCCCGTCCTCTGAAGCCTCTGGCTCTACCTGCGCCTCGGTAGGACGAGGTCCTCTGTGCAGTAGATGGGAAGAAGTGTGATGACTGTGGGTACGATCTGGAACCTGTCGACCAGAAGCGGCTGGTGGCTCGGCTCCGCTGCTGGCCAGCCCTCCCAAAAAACACCTCTTCCACACAGAAAACCTGCTTTAGTGAGGTTTGGGCTTTATTTAGGGTGGTGAATAAGTCACATGTTTTTGAGTTCTGCTGTGAAAGATTAGCCAAATAGTAGGCCCTTTGCTTTTGGGCCGAATTCTTTCGATCCCAAGTCCAAGAGCTTGTTGTCGATGCAGGTCAGTGCAGATTTGAGTCTTTCGGCGCATAGTGCCACATTTGCGTTGCCCAGGAGGCATATTGAGCGTTGAGCCCATTCTCGGATGGCGTTAGGGTCAAGTTGTGTACCCTGGTTGAGCTCCAGATCCGCAAAGTAGAGCATCTTTGAAATTGGGCCGAGTAAGTCAAGTACTTTATCTTGTGTTGCCTTCAGGCCTTCCTCCATGCCTTTGCGAGGGTCTCGTCCCCAGCGTGCAGTGGTCTGGGGCATTCAACCTTAAGGCATGCATGAACCTCCTTCTCCAAGGGTCTGCGCAGCCAATAGTGCCTGAAACATGCTAGGTGGTCAGGGGGGCTCCACTCTGAAGACCATGGGTGTCGAATGTTGCTGGGTCAAAGAGTGGGGTCTTTTGTTTTAGTGCCGCTTGGGCCATCTCTGCCTCGGCCGTCTTCACCGAGTATAGTTTCCCTAACATATTTCGAGTGTGAGGTAGGTCTTGCCATTCTTCTTCCTCTGATGGTGAGCCGTCTTCGTGCCACTCATCTACCACGTCCAGGGTGCACGGTGGGTAATGGTCTTCCTCATCGGAAGATGGTGGTGGACAGGGTTTGGATTCCCGGTGCTCTGTCTGCTTGGTCAGTTTTATGGGTGTCTTGCTCTTGACCTTAGTCAAGGCTGGACTGGACCTTAGTCAAGGCTGGGCTGGAGCCCTTCCCTTGCCATTTTGACTTGGAGACTTCTGAGCCGAGGCCTCCATCAAGTCTGGGGGACTTGCATCACCGTGGGTTTGGGGCAGAGCTTGTAATAGAGCCTTCTCCACTGAAGCCACTACTGCGGCAATTATCATTGCCAGAAAATCTTGGGTCGTTTGCTGAGTGTCCTCCATGACTTGTTCCTGTCGGAATTGCCTGAATTGAAATGCTAGCGTTAGTGTACTTATAATCTTAATTTTAGTAATGACAGGAGGCGAGTATTTTGCATATTATGCTCTTTACTAACTCCACACAGCAGTAAAGAAAAGTGAAAACAATAACCAAACTGCAATAGGATGTATAGTATTCACAGTGAAGAGGCTCCTCCCCCTCTATCAAAAGCGACATCAGGAAACTCAATAAAAAAACATAAAAACATAAAGTCAAAACATCTTGTAACATGCACCAACAGGTGGTTCCCACAGAAACGGAACTTCACGGAATGAAGACTGATCCAGAATATCCTGAAACATGCACCAAACAGGTGACTTGTCCGATTAACGAAACCTCAGGAGATAAAGGCTGATCCAACTGTGTCCATCCTGAGAACGAACTGTTAACATCACGGATTTATACTGAAAAGAGAACGTGAAATGGGTTAGGCACCGGTCTTTAAATTTGTTGCAGTAACGACCCAACATTATATAGCAGTAGGCGTCGCTCTGGTTAATGTATACTGAACAGAAACAGAACAAATCCCCAAACCATGAAGAGAAACGGTATAAATATAAGATAAGCCAACGGAGAGATAAATATATACTTACGTGAATCCACTCTTCCCAAGGGTGGGAAAATACTTGCCTGTCATTACTAAAATTAAGATTAAAAGTACACTAACGCTAGCATAATCTTCAATTTTACCACGACAGGAGGCTTCCTATTTTGCATTTTTTAACGCTGATGCAGAAGAGACATAGCGGCACCTGAATTCGGGCGGAAGTAGACTGTCCGAAAGGTAGATTCCCTCGACCAGTCCGCTGAACGAAGGATATCCGCCAAAGAGCCCGCCGTCCCGCGCACTGAGTGTGCTCCAAAATTTGCGTCCACACCCGCCAGTGATAGGATCCATCGTACCCATCTGACGAGTGGGGTAGTCGAAACGGGAACGTGTGGTCTGACATAGGACACTAGTAGCTGTCCCAAGGTGTGGATGCGATCCCCACGTAACGATGCAGGGTAGAAAAGACGCATAGTTGCGGTTCGGTAGCAAAGAAAGGATAAAAAACCGACGTAGAGTCTGATTTGGTACGTCGTGATACTCGAAAGATAACTCCCTCTGGAGAGACCGAAAAGGCGTTGATGTCAAAGGCCCGCACGTCCGAAACACGACGGAAGGAAACAAGGCAAAGTAAAAGGGTCAATTTGGCCGAAAGTTGTCGGGGAGAGAGTCTGTCATTTGTCGGCCAGTCTCTCAGGAACCGTAGGACCATCTCCACATCCCACAGGTGGGAGTATTTGGGTCCTGGAGGTCTCTGTAATCAGATACCCCTCAGGAGACGGCATACCAGCGGGTCCTTCCCTACAGGGATGCCTAAGGTCGGGACGTGAGCCGCAGAAATCGCGGAGCGCACGACGTTGAGCGAACGGTAGGAGCGACCCGTAGAGAAATGATGGGAAAGAAAATTCAGAATGGCAGTTACAGGCGCAGTAAATGGATCGAAGTTCCGTTCACTGAATAGTCATCCGAGCCCCAGGCGTTTTCCTCTGTGGAATCGGAATCCACGGCCTGCCATGAGTCCAATATCGCCATGGAGGGTGTCTCCCCTCCTCGTCCGAGGAGAAGTGGCGTCTTGGGGAAGGGGCATAGGGAACCGGCTTGCGTCGTTTGACAGGGGTCTTGCCTTTGTCAGGGTTGACGTTCCCCTTTCCGCCCTTCCAGTGGCGTTTAGAAGGCCAGGTGTCAGCTTCTGTGTGTGATTCCGAAGCTTCGGAATCGTAGTCCTGGTGCTGGACCTTAGCGGGGTTTTTGTGTTTCTCGGCAGACGCCGTCATAACCCTGGAGAGTGCCTTCTCCATCGAGGCCGCAATAGCCTCATTTATCATAGTTTGGAAATCCGTAGTGTTCTGGGATGTATCCATAGTTGTTATAGTGACCACAAATAGTATACTTGGCACAGGTTGGGCTAGGGGTCAGTTTGTATTGTGATGGTACCAGCAGGGTGTATAATAAATACGTGCAGCGGTACCAGCAGTACCAAATACCCCAGCAGGGCGTAAAAGAGGCTTAAATAGTAAGCACGTGGTACCAGCAGTACCTGTAACCCCAGCAGGGTATTATTGGGATTTTGTCACTGGGCCTCACCCAGGTATATAGAGGATGTATAACTCACACCTCATAAGCAGCACAAATATTAGGGGTCTCACCCCAAATGCCAGGGTATTAAACCCTATAGTGCTTTAAAATACAGACTTTAATCTTACTGACCTGGTGACCCCTGCCTTATACACACTTGTGGAGGAGCTGTCTGGGAAGCTGTGAGGAAGACCGGGTAGATGTAGACGCCGAGCGCCGTCTGAACGGAGCTCGGGGAGTATTTAAAATGGCGGCCGCAGATCTCGCGAGATGAGATCCAAAATGGCCGCCGCAGTCGCCGGGAGAAAATCCCCGTGAGCGCAGGTCAGAATGCGTGTGAGTGAGAAACCGCGAGGTAGGGGGTGGCCGGTGGGGATGAGCTTTACCCCTGTGAGGCGAGAGGTGAGCGATCCGCCGATGGGGCGGCAGATTGGTCGGGATAAAACGCCGCAAGGAGCCAGCAAAAGAAAGAAAACAAAGCCCCAGAGATAAGGAGATATAATGAATGCAGGGACATAAGTCCCTGTGGGCAGCAATAAGCCAGCAAACTAGCAAGAAACAAACACCCCCCCCATCAAAAAAAAGAATACATGAAATCAGACATTAATAAGAATAAATGTAATAAGAGCAAATGTCATAAATTAAATAAATGTAAATAGCCAAATAAACAGTAATGTAAGGGAAGAGATGAAACTCTGACCTGCCTGCTGATGGAGCAGTAAAGAAAGGGGGAGGAGCCTCATCACTGAATACTATACATCCTATTGCATTTTGATTGGTTATTGTTTTCACTTTTCTTTACTGCTATGTGGAGTTAGTAAAGAGAGTTATATGCAAAATAGGAAGCCTCCTGTCATGTGGTAAAATTGTCTGAGTGTATGAATTTAGTGCCAAGTTTAGAGGGATCACCTCGATCAGTGTAATCTGGCTACTGAGAGCCGTGGTGCAGGCATGACCGTCTGGTAGTGGTGAGGGGTTAGCCGGGTTCACCACAGTTGAACAGCAGAGCTGTATGCACGTGAAAAATCAGAGGCATGTGGGGCTTGTCCCCTTAAGCTCTGTCTCTGCAGGGACTGTAGGGCATTTGGCTGGTGTTCACCCCAGGTGGTGTGCCATGATAACCCAGAGGGCACCCACGTTATAATTATTGGCACATTACAGGCATTGCATGCATATCTGGCAGGTGACCCCAGGTGGTGTGCCACGAAAAAACACAGAGGACACCCACGTTCAGAAATGTACACTAGCCTTGAAGCCCGTGGACTTCGGTGAGGTGAAACACACCAGGTAGAGCAGGACAGAATGAGACAATGTAACATAAATAACCATTAAATATAAGTTTTATTAAGACACGGAGGCTCCTATTATGCTGCACTCTTTCTCTATTTACCTCAGCAGCAAAGAAAAATACCAGTAACCCGCTGTCAGCCGGTCCCGAAGAACAACCCTTAGGGATTACCACATAACACCTTTCGCCTGGAGGTGTGGGACTTTATGAGAGCCGCGGGACCATAAACATGTGCTATAAGTTCCCTCAGAAAAAAAGTGTGCCTTGTGCCTGAGGTCCCAATAATTTAGCCCCCAGATCCGCCAACCATCCGCTTCACATAGGAGAGGCGAACACTGGGGTTTTTGACGAAGAGACATCTCTGAGTCCATTCACTAACATCGGGAGCCCATTACCGGACTGTGTTGGCGTAGTCCAGTATTTTACCCATGATAGGGTCCAGCAGTTAGTCTTGGGTGTCTTTGATACCTCTCCTGGTTCCCTTGCGTAGTCGCGATCGCCCAGAGCTGGTCAAACTCAGCCGTCTGTGCCACTCCGTCTGAGAGGGGAGGGCATGGGTTGTCTGAACCCAAGCATTTACGGACATCGTATCTAGAGGCTGCAAAGCCGCAGGTGCAAAAAGTAGCTAGGCGATCGGGAGGGGACCAGTCTCTCGAACGTGGGTGAAGGATGTGTAGGTTACACAGCCATTGACCAGTAAGCGTGCGAGGCACGGTCATCTTAGTTACCTGGGGATCACCCAGAGAGAAATAGGCAGGTAGTTTTATCATGATATGGGATACCCCTGTAGAAGGCACAAACCAGTAGGCAGTCTAAGGATGCAGGGCAAACAGATCAGTCTACCATAGTATTAGGTACTTTTCACAGAAACCCCAGCAGGGTTGTACTCTGAACAGTGCCTCCACTCAGCAGCACAGTGCAGCACACATATAATAGGGCCTCATCCTAGGAGCACTGGGTATAAACCCTTAAGTGCTAGCCACAGCCCTGATAGAGAGCGTCCATCAGTTCTCCCACAATTAAGTTACTGGCAAGGGAGATATGCCTTGAGGCAGGCAATGTTGGAATCCTGTCCAATAGTTAGAGGATGCAACAGCATGCCTCCATTCAGCATTCCAATGCAGTGCACATATAGTAGGGGCTTCACCCCGGGTGCACAGGGTATGAACCCTTAAGTGCTGGCCATCAGCCTGATAGAGAGCCTCCCTCAGCTCTTCCAATAATTAATGCACTGTCATGGGAGATTTCCTGTTAAGCCGGAAGTGTTGAAAAGTCTGTCCAGCGGTTAACAGAGGCTGTCCCAATATGTCTTCCCTGAGCAGTATAGTGTGGCGTACATATAGTAGGGCTCTCACCCCGGGTGCACAGCGTCTGAACCCTTAAGTGCTTACCACCGCCCCGGTAGAGCGCATCAATCAGTTCTCAAACAATTAAATTTGTTGTCGAGGGAGAAATTCCTGTAAGCAGTGAGTGCTGAAAATCCTGTCCAGCAGTTGACAGTCTGTAACAGCATGCCTCCCTGCAGCAGTGCAGTGTACATCTAATAGGGGCCTCGCCCCGGGTGCATAGGGTATGAACTGGCCATTAGCCTGATAGAGAGCTTCTCTCAGCTCTTTCAATAATTAATGCACTGTCATGGGAGATATTCCTTTTGGGAGTCTGTCCTGGAGATCATACCCAGCAGTTAAGAGGCTGTAGCAGCCTGTCTCCACTCAGTAGCACAGTGCAGCGCACATATAGTAGGGGCCTCACCTCAGGTGCACAGGGTATGAACCCTTAAGTGCTGGCCATCAGCCTGATACAGAGCGTCCCTCAGCTCTTCCAATTAATGCACTGCCATGGGAGATATCCTGCTAAGCTGGAAGTGTTGAAATTTCTGTCCAATAGCTAACAGAGGTTGTCATAGCAGTATAGAGTAGCGTATACACAGCAGGGCGCACGGGGTATGAATCTTTCAAGTGTGGGGCACGGCCGTATAAAGATGGTACTGTGTGGAAACAGTTGTTCAAAGGTCACTGTTATATCTCTTTAAGCCGTATGCCCTGGGAACCCTGTTGGAATAGCCTGATTCCATACAGTAGGACAAGTAGGTTAGTTTGGGGGGTGGCCACAGCAGGGCAAAGAAGTGAGTTAAAGGTATTAAAAATATGTTATGGGTCCTTTAAAGTAGAACCATGATGGAATAATTTAGTCATTCGTCAGGAAGGGGTTAAAGAAGTAAAAGTTTAAATTGCCTTTGGAAGCAACATCAAACCAGAATTGTGCGTTGGGTGCTTTAGGAAATGGGTTTGCAGGAATCTTCCCATCAACATGCACAATGCCAATACACGTCCTCATAGCGGCCAAAAGCAAAATAGCTTCCAACTGGAAAAACAAACTAGCCCCTTGAATGTCCACAGTACTGGAGAGACTCAATAAAATGAGAATATGACCAATAGAATGGCCAACACAACTCCTATTATGAAAGGGCATGGTCAAGGTGGCACTTGGTGCCGATAGAGAGAAGCGAGGGGAGGGGGCGGGCGGATGGGGAGTTGTCAGGGACGATTCTAGCAATTACCCCACACGGCACAGCACAATCACACCAAACAGAGGAGTCAAGTCGAATATCTGACAGGACGTGCACAGGTTTGGAGTGGGTCCTATAAATAATTAAGTTTTTTCCTTTTCCTTTGATTGTTGTTTAGGCCTTTTCTTTGCCTATTATACTTATCAATACTATCTTCCTCTGTTACAAACGAATACGAACTCCATAATGCTCCTGTATATGTTACAAGGGAAGTGAGGAGATCTCTCGGGTAACAGAGCAATTTATCTGTGGTACCAAATGTTGAGTGATATGCTCTTACAATAAATACTGTACACCAAACATAGGAATGTAACCGTATTGCTTGTTTAAAAGCATAAGATGAAGTGTACCTGTATTGTATGTTTGTAACGGAATTATTACCCTTTGAAAGCTCAATAAAATTTTAAACAATGAAAAGAAAAAAATAAATTCCACCTTAAACTTACTCCAGTTATAATGTCAATTAATTTACTGCTTTGGCACTTAAATTAAAGCTTTTGTGAGTACGACTGGATATTTAACATTTTTAAAAATATTAAAAAAAGTTTTAATTGCATACAAAATCTTTGGAACATTGGCAAATCTTGCTAATAATAAAAAGCCAAATTTAAATAATGGTATGTTTATTAATCTTTCCATGAAAGCAGAGAAAATGTGGCCTTAGAATGCGCCATCCCCTGAGTTAAGGCAAGCGGTTGTTTTTTGGTGATCGTGCAGTGTCCCTTTTCTTATGCTTCACACTTTCCCTGGGTCTTCTTTCAGGGTAACAGTCCTGTTGAACACAATCTGTGACATAAAGAAATTGGGAAATGAGTTTGCACATATACATACGTGAAGCTTTTCAAAGGTTGCAATTACAGCTTTGACACTTAGGTCAATGAATTCAAATAATTTTACGTATATTTAAAATCAGTCTGGATCAAACTGATCAAAAAGCAGATAACAAAATTGCCTAATCCTTTTTATATTGTTTGGCATCTGTGTTTCCAAGACGCTAGTTTTAAAATGTAAGCAGATCTCTCGGGAAGCGTACTGAGGATTCTGTTGCTAGGTTACTTGTTATCAGCAAGACAGTCACACCTAAACCTGCCCCAAACACCTCATCAGTTGCCTATACCAAGCACCATGTCCTCTATTAAAATACGAAGAAAAGTATATTTTTATGACAGAAGCATGTGTTACAGCAAGTTGATTAGAGCAATGCTATACATTATACCCATCAAGGTGATAGTTTCATCAAGGTTTACTACAAATTAATTTGATTCAAAGCTCTCATCTATCCAGCTATGATATACATTAGTGCCACAGGGAGCATCATATGCATATTTCTTACTGTACATGGCATTTCCCCAGCCTCTGTTCTTTTGCTACCAAATCTAAAATAATCACTGAACAGTGACTTCTGAAGACTGACTAAGCATTAAAACAAGAGGGGGGGGATGGGGGGGGAAGGAAGGGAGGGGGAGGGAGAGACTGCTACCCATGTATTAAAGGGTAGCAGTCTCTTCTCATTCTGGCCTTAGATTTGTATGGAAATTTGAACTACCATATTTACTCGAGTATAAGCAGAGTTTTTCAGCACATTTTGTTTGCTGAAAAAGCCCCCCTCGGCTTATACTCGAGTCAGGGTCTGTATTATGGCAACTTACATTGCCATAATACAGACCAGGACTGCCGGGCTCATGACAAGCCCGGCGGTTCTGGGGGGGGGGGGCAGAAAGCTGTTACTTACCTTTTCCTGCAGCTCCCTTCAGTTCCCCAGTATAAATCTTGTGAGTCCCGCGGCAGTCAGAGCGTTGCCATGGATTACTGTGGCAACGCTCTGCGGTGCACGCAGACCGCGAGATTTACACTGGGGAGCTGAAGGGAGCTGCAGGAAAGGTAATTAACAGCTTGCTGCTGGCCCCCTCTCACTGCTCAGCCCATGCCATAATTTTATTGGGATCTAATTTTATTTAGAAATTTACCAGTAGCTGCTGCACTTCCCACCCTAGGCTTATACGCGAGTCAATAAGTTTTCCCAGTTTTGTTTGTGGTAAAATTAGGTGCCTCTGCTTATATGCGGGTCGGCAATAAAAAAAAAAAAAAACAGAGTTACCGTCTCGTGAGTGGTGTCTGGATCCACAGAGAAATATCCAAGTCTTTCAAATTGGAATTTATCAAGGGCTTTTGAATTCTTTACAGACTGATCTACCAAAGCATCCGAGATCACAGTCAAAGAGTCCTAAATGAAAAAAAAATTTAAAAAAATTATTATATATATATATAAAAACAAATGATAGAAAAGCTAGTTACATTTGGGAAATAAACTTACATTAGGAAGACAGACCAGTATGGTGCATTTAAACTGAATATGTGGTAGATTTTAAGTCTCTAAAAGCTAGTGTAAAAAAACAGGTACATAATGATGAGAATAAAAGTGTTATGTTTTCGCATTTACATTTCACAAATTATTTTGACAGCAATTGGGGGGGGGAGGGGGTGGGCCACGGATTTATTAAAGGAATACTCCACGGCAGAGACATTTCTTTAATGCAGTATTGGAATAATGCATTAAAAATATAGGAAAAAATATGCTCTATTATATTTATAATGAAATAAGAAAGAATCTTATCTTAAAGGTTTTGACCATAGCGGTAAATTTCCATGGTTTGCAGCCTATTGTAGTGAGTGCTTACAAGACTAGGAAGTACCTGTCAGTCTACCCTAGAATGAGGACATTCAGCGTCAGATTTTTTCCCATAGGAAAGCATTTATTCAATGCTTTCCTATGAAGAGGTCTAGTGCACGCGCAGCATTTACCTCAATGGATCATTTGCTGTGCATGCGCATTAGATCCCGCTCGTTGCAGGATGGAGCGGAGCTTTGATCCAGTGCAGAGGGACACTGGCGCTGGGATCAGGTAAGTAAATAATGGGTTTTTAACCATTTACCAGGTAGGAGCGGGCGCAAGGGAGGCAGAGGGATAAATATTGCCAGGAATACAGCTCAATGGATTAATTGATCAAAGGATCAATGGATACCTGGGGCTACCCTCTGTCAGCTGGTACCATTTTTAGTGGCCCAAGACTGACCGATGAACTCTATGCAGACCTGGATTGATACCTGCTTGGAATCCTTTAACTCCATTAACTACACTGCTGCAGAGCAATTGCGCTAGGCCGCAGTGTTTCTGAACTGCAGGCTTCTTCATAGAGACCAACCCAGGGTCTGAATAGATGCCGACAGGGTCTTCTGGCTGTCTAACTGGTCCTGAGCTTTGCCAGCTACCCAGCACTAATCACAGTGTAATCGGCTGGGAAGCAGGGTTCATGCATAATTGTATTCAATGTAATTCTGAAAATCAGCCAGTAGATGGCAATCACAGACCATTATCTACTGTTTTAATCCCTTAAGGACCAAACTTCTGGAATAAAAGGGAATCATGACATGTCACATGTCATGTGACCTTAAGGGGTTAAATAGAAAAAACATTTTCTAATATCAGAGTTGATATTAGAAGAGGATTTCCATAGTTTTAGGATAGGATTAGGGTTAGATTTAGAGGCAAGAGTAGGGTAGGGTTTGAGTCTGTAGGGTACGGGTAAGGGTTAATGCAGGATTAGGGGAAGTATTCTGTTAGCATTAGTGTAAGCATAGGGTTAGGGTAGGTATAGCATTAGGTGGGGGGATGGTAAAGGGTTAACATTAATTACCAAAAATTAATTCAGATCCTAGACATTCCAGGCATTTAACAATCAAGACTGATATTTTAGATACCGGCTACCATGCAGAAACTCGCACTGGACGGACCAGCCCCGGGAAGAGCTGATGCTAACGAGCCGACAACAACCGCAGCCTGGAACCCCGCAACTCAATTTTCATGAGTAATGTTTAAAGTTCATTTTAAGTTTCGAGTTTACTCTACTTTAATTACACTACATACTACACATACGCATCACCACCCAGATGAATAGGCATTCACTGCTTTACTGCTCCTTACTATTCCCCCCTCTCCTCTTAACAGACAATGAGCCTATAGTCTAAGGAACCTGTAAAGGGGGTAATAAGCCTCTCAAACTTACCCTAGTGCAATAGCCTGTGCCTAACTTAATGATCAAGGAGGCAACAGTAGCAACCTGCTCCACACACACTAACGGTATACTTGACTCGCAACACTTAAGCAGGATATGACACTAGTCAGACAACCGATTATAACTCACTCTAATATAATACCTAATATGTATAAAATGTGTCTTGTTCTGAACAAATCACTTACAACAGCTGTTGTGGCTACGCAAGCATGTCTGTACCAACTATGCACAACCAAAATAAAGAATTAAAAAATTTTTAAAAAAAGAGACAATCTATTGAGTTATTTTTCTGGAACTGGCTGTGTAAAAATTATATGCAGAAAAGTGAATAACCCCTCTCCCCCACCATTCTGAAAGGGTTAATAGGGTTGAACATAAAGTTTCCTTTAAGAAGAAATTTTCTGTTTTCACATAGCCTTTGTGACAGGTCTACATCAATTACAAGACAGACAATCATTTGCTCCTATGGCAGTTTATAAAACATAAAAGTTATCTAGGCCAAAGCAGAGCTTCATGCAACACAATATATCAGTAGAACGTACGGGATTCAAATCAGTTAAAAATCCACCAGGTACTTCGGAAGGATCTTCAGGGCTTTTGTGATGGAATCTGGAATGAGACATGATATTCCATTAACAAACAGCCTACAAAACACAATTAACCATTTCTTGAGCATGCTATTTGAGGACAAATCAGTGATTAAGCAATACTGCAAGAACAAACTTCGCTTCCTTGCTGCCTAGGGATTACTTACAATCTATCATACAGACGCACTTCACACAGTAGCGGATCGGACACCCAGTGTATAAATGCTTTGGGTTTCTCGGATTGTTCTGATTTTGTGCATGTCACCTCCACTTCAACTACTTTGCCACTTTGATCCTAGGGTGGTGTATAAATCACAGCGGTAGGATTAAAAAGACCAGTTCCATTTACAATAGCTTTTAAATTAGATAATGCAAGGTACAGGCAACTTAGCTGCCAAAAAGCTTGACGAGCAGAATAAAGATTATACCATCATTTAGTAAATTAGGATTTTGTGGAAAACGGACAAGGGTATTTTAGACTAAAACACTTAATTTTCCCCCCCAATTCAAGTATTTGGTATAAATCTGCAGTCTCCCCATTATTTCAAAGTTGGTGAATAAATTGCACTGATACATCTAGTAAAAAAAAAAAAAAATGATCCAGGGTATTAACTACTTTTTTTTTTTTTTTTAACTATATCTGTATTATTAACATTTCTGGAAAAATTTTACATTTTAATCTTGTCAAATGCATTACTTTTTGCACACCAAGGGTTAAAATACAAACGCCAATCGATTCTGCATCCAATTGCAGATATTAGTCAATGTGACAGACACTAGAATTGTTCATGGATGTGTTTCCAACAGTTCAGACAAACCAAATATATTTAATCTACGCCCAAACAAATCAATCCACCAGGAATTTAACTTTAGAGTCTTATTCAATGAATAAGACTCCACAGGTAAATCTTTAACCACCACCCAATGAATTATAAAGAGTTTGCAAATGAAAGGAACCTCGTTGCTGATGTGCAACATACAATAATAACTCATTCATTATATATTTTACAATCTCACCTTTACAATGTTCCGTACGGAGATAACGTAACCAGCATGCCGAAGACCAACAGGCTGGTCTGGGGTGAGGCGTTTGTAGCCTTTCTCCGTCACCTGCAAGTTATATAAATATGAATTTTTTAATTTTTTTTTAATGGTTATTTTTAGATTATATCCAGACATTGCAATGTACAGGATAGCATGTATAACTAGCGTTAGACCTTTACCTCTCTGAAGTCTGTCTGCTCAATGTACAGAGTGGAAGCAAAAGGAACAGTGTGGAACCCTTTCGACTCATCAGCTGGGAAATTTGGTACAGAGACATCAATTGCCTGTTGGGGAGATACAGAGACAAAGTTAGATACAGTGGGATATAAAGGCAACAGATACCCATGAATCTGGAATAACATGTGCTTATAGGAATATATTAGCATTTGTGTCCCATGTCAAGGATATAGAGCAACAGCTAGTTCTAGTCCATATATGTATGTGATCTGGTATATAAGTTTGCGTCCAAAATACAGAAAAGGGTCATGCGTATGCCACATTACATTTTATGGCATATTGTTGCCCTAAAAGAAAGAATGAGACCGATTATGAATTAGGATTATAAATATCTCACATACACAGACAGATCGTTAGAAAGCTCTCCAGCAAAATGTAAACAAAAATAAAAGTAGTCAGATTCAATGAATCCCTGGAACCGATGGTCAAACTACCATACTGACAAAGGGATGACTCACCTTGTTTGCTGGAAAGTTTGTTATTGTGACTTTTAGAGGCTCCAGAACAGCCATGACTCGCGGGGCTGTCTCATTCAGTACCTCTCTCACACAGGCCTCCAACAAGTGAGGCTCCATGGTAGTCTGAGCGACTGTCACCCCAACCTAGAAGCAAGTTGGCAAACATTACTACTAACAGAAATAACTGCTGCCCCGAGGATCATTACACACCTACACAGCATTACATAAATTCTTAAACTGTCCCTTGCATCCATTCTAGTCTTAGCAGAGGTAACAGTCTTGAGTCGCTTAAAAGAACACTGTAAGCACCATAACCACTTCAGCTTTCTGCCAAGTGCCAGTCATAACCTTTTCTGTTTGCTCCACTGAGCTAATCACTTTGGGCTGAGGTTGTTACAGTGCTTGGAATCATCCTTTAACTCTGGCATTATATTTAGTTGGAGTGCATAAAAGAGTACGATAAAATGCTTCAAAGTTTTTATTTGATTTTTTTGTCAACTGTTTGAGAACTGACTTCGTGCTTTTAGACCACATCCACCAGCACACGAAGAGGCTGCAATTCAAAGCATTCATGAGTACAACTGAACACCAAATAGCATGACAGTGCTGTGCAGAGAGATAGCGGGTGTATTTGCAAATCACTGCAGCTATAATTATTAGGATGAGGGGAGGGTGGAGAAGAGGAAACAAAAACCTCCTTGCACCATAAACTATGCATAATGTTTGCTCTAAATATAAAGCAGTTTTCATAAATCTCTTCTCAACATGGTCACATTAACTGTGCTCACAAATATCTAATATACTTGTATTCATTTGTTCAAATAAAGTCTTTTATATATTTTAGATACATACACACTGCTAGTCATGCTGTAATAGCAAAAGTATACATGGCGTGCAATTTTAGTTCTGCAG